ACCACCACCACGACTACTACTACTACTACTACTACCACCACCACCATGACGACTACTACTACTACTACTACTACTACGACTACGAGCCATAATATATAGTCGAATTCAAGAATACCTACAAACAACACTTATTTGCAATTCTAATCTAGTATGCACTGCGCCCGAACACAATTAATTCACATATGTCACGTAAGTCCTAATTCGTATAGTGCACAAAGACAAATTAGCCTGGGCTCTGGTACCAGTTGTTGGGTTCTATGAGGAATTTCGCCTATGTACACATTCAAATCTATTGAAAATAAAATCCTAACATGCACAGTTGAATCTATAGTTAGGATTAGAACTTATGGTTTAAAATTTTTGCCGACTCTGAGACGTTTCTCATTTCCGCTGTTGGAGATCGTTTGAATCTGTGAGTCCGTTGGGCAGACAGACGTTGTCTCGTCATCACATCTCTGGTTTGGAATTACAAAATTAGTTTAGAAATCTAAACCTTAAACCTTACATCTTTAGTGGTAAAACCTGCAGTAGTGAGTTCATAAACTTGAGAACAAACCCCTTGTTAAAGTTGCTCTAATAATCTATATGAGGCTATTCTCAACTCTTCTGTTATTATGCTCATGATTACCATCTCTCCATTTGATTACTATTTGTTCTAAGTATTTGTTGTGTGTGTGTTATAATTGTATGTTATTTTTGTTCTGTTTATTTGGTAACTCGACTGTGTACGGACTTAGTCTCCATTATACTCTATATTGTTGTCTCATTTTTAAAGAAAAAATGGGCTGCGGACCTGTTTGTAGCTGCGCGAACATTCTGAAGCATAAAACTAATCTGACTTATGTGGAAGCCAATAATAAGAATAAACACTTGGTGCCCACTACTAAGAAATTAGCTGTGTGTCACGTCTTAATTACTGGAGTTAAATAAGTTACTATGCCAAGATTGTAATTTGTACTATATATATAATATACTATATGGTGTAGGAACCAAAATTTCACATGCATAATAGGGAGAAAGACAATGGGCACATGCCCTGATTATATAGTTTTTCCTTTCGTCAGAGGCAACTTGATCAAATTATTCAGGGCTCTCCATTGTCTGCCAATAATTGTTCACATGTCTTCACTTGTTCTTCGCTTTATGTGTTATGTTGCGTTAATTAGACATGAAAGTCCAAGGCATATCATGTGCATGCACACCCTGTAATTCCACATTCAGCAGGGACAATTAATTTCCTAAAACGGTCTGCTTCCAAAGTTTTAATGTTGGGGTTGTCACTATGCTTGCCCGTTTTCACAATCAACATGTAATCCATCGAGTATGCACAGCTGTAAATAAAATATTATAAATTATGTATATAAATATAATATTAAAATTATAAAATTGAATAATGATCATATCACATTGAAAATTTTGATCATTAATAAGAATGAACATTATGAATATATAAACTATGTAACTATATATGAATCATATTATTGACGGAAAAAAAATATGGATAATGTAATTCTTATAATTTTGAGAGATCATGTGTACAATTAGAGATGTTAAACGGGCTAGCCCTAGCGGACTTCGGGCTAAACGGTCCGGGCCAAAAAAGTCTGAATTTAAACGGACTACCAATAAAGGGACCTAACCCTAGCGGGCTTCGGGCTAAACGAGCTATGCGGGTTATAAAAATAATAATAATATTATTATTATTATTAAAAAGTATCAAAGATAAAAAGAATGAAAATTTATAAAAAAATAACAACGACAGTTAATGATTTTTTTCAACGGCTATTTAGTATTTACCGCTCTATATATACAACTACACATAATATATGAACACACATTACAAACTCTTAAATAACATGTTTTTTCTCAAAAGAAAAAAAAATTCCAACTATTACTTACAGTTACCATTTTACTACTTGTTTTGTATGCTCTGGGAATTTATACTATAAATTTTATCACTATGTTTCATGTGTTTCCTATTAGTCGGTCTCATTGGC